CCCCCTGCTGCTAGCAATCAGATTCAGGGCTTATCCATGCTAGGCAGGTGCTGTATCACTACAATCCATCTTCAGCCATGGTCCCCTTTAATGGAAGTAGAAAGACCATCTAATTTGCATTTGTGGAAGCAATATTTTGTTTTTTGTTTTTTTTGGTCAGTTGTTGGGCTTGAATTTGGGGCCTGGGCCCTGTCCCTGTGCTCTTTTTGCTCAAGGCCAGTAAGAAACAGAGCCACTTCTGAAATTCTTCTTTTTCAGACTTACTAATTTTTCCCAGCTCTCTCTCTCTCTCTGTGTGTGTGTGTGTGTGTGTGTGTGTGTGTGTAAAAGTCACAGACTTTTTTGCCGAGGCTACTTCGAACCACAATCCTCATATCTCAGCCTTCTGAGTAGCTGGGATTACAAGCATGAGCCACCAGTACCCCAGGGCTTTCTATGTCCTGTTTATACCTACCTGAAGTCATAAAGATATGTCTTTATACTTTTTCTTTACCTTTGCTCTTTTCATGTTTAGGTCTTTGATCTTTCACTTGACCGGCACCAATTTTAAAACATGCCTTTATTTTCCAGTGGGTGATGGAAGAATGGGATATGCTGAGGAAGCTCCGTATGATGCGATTCACGTGGGAGCGGCAGCCCCCGTCGTGCCGCAGGCAGTGAGTGGGGTTTCGGCTTGCGTTTCATTCAGCTAACACGCTCAAGATTTATGTACAAAGTGACTTGTAGATGCTGGTTAGAATGTACTTAGGATTTTATTTTTTAATAATGTAATAGTTAATAATTAACATACGATATACATTAGATAGAAAGCATGCACATGAGGGAGAGAATTTGGCAGCATCAAGGAGACTTCATATACTGATGAAACCTGAACTGACTCTTTAAAAAACCAGTAAGATTTGCCTGGTTTGCAATGAAAAGAAAGACTATTACATGTAAGGTATCATTTTTTTTTTTTTGGTGGTAGTGGCATTTAACTCAGCCATATTCTAGGAACTACCACTATGCAGCCTTTTTTTGTTTGTTTTTTTCACTGTGCATTTTGTTGAGGTAGGGTTTTGGTTTTTGCATAGGTGTGAACCTGGGACACAGTCCTCCTATTTTACGTTTTATGCTTTAGCTGGGGTGACAGGTACATGCCACCTCACCTAGCTTTTTCACTGAAGAGTCTTCTGAGCTTCTCCTCCTTCCCCCCAGCCCGCCTAGAGCAAAGATCCTCCTGATCTCAGCCACTTGAGAGCTAGGATTATAGGCGTGAGCTACCATGCCCAACTTCAAAGTATAATGTTGATTTTTCATCTTGGGAATATTCATATAATCTTTTTTTCTTTTTTATTGTTCTTTTCTTTTCCCTTTTTTTTTTTGCCAGTTGGGATAAAACTCAGGGCCTGGGCATTGTCCCTGAGCTTCTTTTGCTCAAAGCTAGCACTCTACCACTTGAGCCATAACACCACTTCCAGCTTTTTCTGTTTATGTGCTATTGCTATTGAGGAATCTAACCCTGGGCTTCATGCATGCTAGGCAAGCACCCTACCACTAAGCCACATTCCCAACCCATATTCAAATAATCTTATGTCAGCTTTCAATACTCTGTGGTTAAGTTCACTGAAACACTAGGTTTCTGTCAAACATAAATTATACACAGGTACTTTTTTTCATGTTTAGCTTAGTTATAAAGAGATGAAAATTAGGGGAATTCTCTCAACATATATCTCCAAATGAATAAAGATGCTTTTAGATTTGCAAATTCCAGTCTCATGTTCCACACACTGTTGTACAAAATGCTTTTGGAGGAATTGCATTGATAACAACATAAAAAAAGAAACTGGAACAAGACAGACCAGAAAGACTGAAGACAGAAAGTCATGGGTCTAGGAAGAGTGATAGCTTAGTCGGAGAGAAGTGGTAAGAGTTCCCAGGATTATTACAAAGAGAAGTCCAGTAGGACTAGAGGGGAATCTGCAGAGACAACAAAAGAGCATTAATTAATAGAGTTGGTATCTAATATGAAAATTTAGAAGCTGTTGTAAGGTAAAAAGATTAGGAAACATTTTCTAAGAAATTTACAGTCGGGTTCATGCCCATAATTCTAGCTACTTAGGAGGCTGAGACCTGGAAGATGCAGGTTCAAAACTAACCCAGGCAGAAAAGTCCAGAAGACTTCATCTCCAATTAGCCAACAAAATACCAGAATGGAGGCTTAAGTTGTAGAGCACTAGCCAGAAGGAAGAAAGCCTAATGAGAATGTAAGGGCCAAGTTCAAACCCAAGTACTATTTTTAAAAAAAGGGGTGGAGGGGATAAAAACACAGGTGCCAGTGGCTCATGCCTGTAATCCTAACTACTCAGGAGGCTGAGATCTGAGGATTAATGTTTCGAAGCCAGACTGGGCAGGAAAGCCCATGAGGCTCCAATTAACCACCAAAAAACCAGAAGTGGAGCTGTGGCTTAAAGTAGAGCTCTAGCCTTGAGCAAAAATGCCAAGGGACACCACTCAGACCCTATGACTGGTGCACACACACACATACATACACATACAAACACATAAACACACACAGAACTGGGGGGGGGGAGCTGGTGAGCGTGGAGAGAGAGGGAGAGAGAGAAATTAAGTAAATGAAAAAGGAAAGTCTTAACTTTAGTTGCAGTATAACCAGACAATTGTAGAAAAAGCAATCGTGGGATATCTCTTGGTCCAGCAGCAAATTTACAGTCATAACAGGGTTTTTTTGGATGAGGGGGCAATACTAGATTTATACTCATTCAGGGCCTTTGCCTGCTACACAGGCAACCTCAGAGTTGTGCCTTGCCATATATTTTGAAGGTTATTTATTTATTTACAGCCCCCAGTCCTGGGGCTTGAGCTTAGGGCCTTAGCTCTGTCCCTGAGCTTCTTGTGTTCAAGGCGCTAGCACTCTACCACTTGAGCCACAGCACCACTTCCAGATTTTTCTTTTCTTTTTTTGGGTCCAGTCATGGGGCCTGAACTCTGGGCCTGGGTGCTGTCCCTCAGCTCTTCAGCTCAAGGCTAGCACTCTACCACTTGAACCACAGTGCCACTTCCGGCTTTTTTCTTTTTGCTTATGTGGTGCTGAGGAATTGAACCCAGGGCCTCATGCATGCAAGGCAAGCGCTCTACCACTGAGCCACCTTCCCAGCCCCACTTCCAGATTCTGCCTTGGTTGGACTGGCACTGGACTGGATTGGAATCCTTCCAATCTCAGCCTCCTCCTAGGGTGACAAGCATGAACCACTAGCTCCCAGCTCTGAAAGTGATTTGAGTAAAAATAAATTGACTGGTTAGATTGAGGGATGGAACTAGATGTACAGCAAATGAATGCAGTCCTTATCTAGTATATAATCTGATATCTAAAGATCATACAAGAAGACACAGGTAAAGAGTTGGGGCTGGGATGAAGAAGTCTGACATTTTTCATTATAGGCCTTAAAATTCAGAAAAATGACTTAAAGAATACTTGCAAATATCAACAAAGGAAAAAATAGGGTATACCCACTGAGGGCAGGTACCCTTTTCTGGGGTAAAAATATCCAAAGCCATGTTTCTTCCTTACTCATTTGAATAGTGGCAAATCTGTAAGTCATATTTAACTTTTTTTGGGGGGAGGGGGGGTCTGGTCGTGGGGCCTGAACTCTGGGCCTGGGTGCTGTCCCTCAGCTCTTCAGCTCAAGGCTAGCACGCTACCACTTGAGCCATAGCACCACTTCTGGCTTTTTTTTTTTTTTTCTGCTTATGTGGTGCTGAGGAATGGAACCCAGGGCCTCATGCATGCAAGGCAAGCGCTCTACCACTGAGCCACCTTCCCAGCCCCTGGGTTTTCATTAATAATGATGTCCACATTCTTATGCTAGATATTCCAGTCCCTTCCTCCTGTCCTTCTTCCTGGAGGCAGTACTTCTCAATTCCGTTATGTAATTAGGTTTCCCTTACCTTACTTAGCTTCAGTAGTGCCCTACATTCAACAACAATATGATAGTGATTTCTTGTTGATTTTCTATACTTCTCTTCCTCCCCTTCCCTTTCTTTCTCAACCACAAAGACTCCAGACACACAGGCTTTAGAATTTTCTGCTATGTCAGGGGAGGATAATGCTGCATCAGGTGGCCTAGTTCAAACATGTTGAACATTGTAGTTGTACCTGGTACTATGTTAGGTGCTGAGGCACAGTAATGAACAAAATACAGTTTCTATCCTCAAGAAACTTAGAGTTTAGTAGTGGATGCTGAGAGGTAAATGAGTAAGTAGGCAGTTGGTAAAACACTTTAAAGTATGTACCTTGGCCCTCTTCTGGTCCCCAACCAAACCAAGTATCTTTGTTACAACCTTCTTTTAGTTCTGACTCTCTACATATGATTAGCTGCCATGTCAAGATAATCAATGATTATTCTTTTTTTTAACATAGTAAATGTGGGTTCTTCATTCTTGTATTTAACCAGTAGTGGGCAGAAAAGGTATTTGGGATGATGTGCATAGGTTATATGCAAATACTGTGTCATGCTACTATGCTTGAGTGGTCCTGAGACCAATGCCCACTGTACGAAGGAATGACTATTGCATGTTTCTCTCTTCTGCTCATGAACCGAACGTTCTTTACAGTGATGTCAGATAACTAGTAATACAAAATCTGTACATTGATGTGTATGTTTGTTTCTCTCTTCCTTTAGTTAATAGACCAGTTAAAGCCTGGTGGAAGATTGATATTACCAGTGGGTCCGGCAGGTGGAAACCAAATGTTGGAGCAGTATGACAAGCTACAAGATGGCAGTGTCAAAATGAAGCCTCTGATGGGGGTGATTTATGTGCCTTTAACAGATAAGGAAAAGCAGTGGTCCAGGTGGAAGTGATTTTCTCTTCTGCTCTTTCTTCTTCCACACTTGCAAGGTGAAAGGGTGTGGATTTTAAGACATTAGACTGCAAAGGGCTGCTTTTGGTTTTTGGTTGCCATCTTCATGCTACTCCATCAAAATACCAACAATCCATTACATTAAACTTGTGAAACAATTTGCATGGTCTGCCCTTCTTTCAAATTAACCTATCTCTGGGTGTGTGAGACTTGGTTGGCACAGAGAGGTGTGTTGTGTTTTGTTTTTAAGAGAGTTTCAGCTGCAGTTCAGTGCCTTTTTTTTTTTTTTTTTTTGGGTTCAGTCGTGGGGCCTGAACTCTGGGCCTTGGCGCTGCCCCTCAGCTTTTCAGCTCAAGGCTAGCGCTCTACCACTTGAGCCACAGCACCACTTCCGGCTTCTTTTTCTTTTTGCTTATGTGGTGCTGAGGAATGGAACCCAGGGCCTCAGGCATGCAAGGCAAGCGCTCTACCACTGAGCCACCTTCCCAGCCCCCAGTTCAGTGCCTTTTATAAGGTTATTTTCATTATCAGCCATTCTGTGTTTCTGTACTTAGATGGGGCCATCATTTCCCGCTTCATTCAGTCTCATTGTACATTGTTATAGGGAGCAAGAAGGAGAAAGACACAGTTGTCCCACTTTTTAAAAGGTCAGAATCCCAGAGAGGATATTCTACCTTTTGGCTTGATTTCTTCCTTAGTTCATTCAGCCATTGTTTCAGAACCACCAAAAGGAGCAAATGTCATCCTCTCCATAGACTGGGCCATCTGATTTCCACCTGTTTGCTTTCCTGGGGAGGGCAGGGATCCTGTAGAAGATCCAGTGTGTGCCCACGTCTCACTCCTCACCCACAGGGCCAGCAACATGCAGTACCACACTGTCTTTGCACAGCATGGCTCACTGTAAATCCAATGCCTGCTTTTGCTGTTTGCCATAGCAGAGTCTGAGTCCTCTTCACCTTCTCCTTGCAGAGAGGAAGGGAAATCAGTGCACAGCAGCACTTTCTGAGCTGCAAAATTACTGGGATTTATAGGATGTGCATGCCATGTTCAGTAGTGTTTTGCCTTTTTTTTTTTCCTTGGGGCTTGAACTCTGGGCCTAAGAACTGTCCCTGAGCTTCTGTGATTAAAGCTAGTGCTCTATCACTTGAGGTACAGCTCCACTTTCAGCTTATTTTGGTAGTTTACTGGAGATGAGAGTCTCACAGACTGGCTTTGAACTGTGATCCTCAGATCTTAACCTCCTAAGTAGATAGGATTACAAGTGTGAGCCACCAACACCCAGCTATGTTTTACTTTGAACTACATTTCAGCATGGCCTTTCTGTAACATTTTATGAAGAATTGTATTTTATTTTTCACCTTGTGTAATTTTAGGTATTTTCTTGGATTTGTAGCCTGGAACACAGCTATCCTTTAGAAAATCATTTGAAAAACTGTTGATCTTTTCACTTAAAATCAGATGTAGTTATCAGCAACTACTTACAACTTTCCTTCACTTCACTTCTAGTTTGCTTAAAACATTACAGAACTGCCAGGTGCCATTGGCTCACACCTGTAATGGTAGCATCTCAAGAAAGCTATTTAGAAGATCTTGGTTCAAGGCATAAAGTGATTTTCTCTTTTCTCCAATTATAGATTCAGGCCTTCCCCAAACCTGCATCTATCCTCATTAAAACCAAACCATTTGGGGCTGGGAAGGTGGCTCAGTGGTAGAGTGCTTGCCTTGCATGCATGAGGCCCTGGGTTCAATTCCTCAGCACCACATAAACAGAAAAAGGCGGAAGTGGCACTGTGGCTTAAGTGTTAGAGCTCTAGCCTTGAGCTGAAGAGCTGAGGGACAGCGTTCAGGCCCTGAGTTCAAGTCCCACAACCGACCAAAAAATAAAACGAAACCATTTGTGCTAAGAAATTCAGTCTTTTTTTTTTTTTTTTGTCGGTCGTGGGTCTTGAACTCTGGGCCTGGCCGCTGTCCCTGCGCTCTTCAGCTCAAGGCAAACTCTCTACTACTTGGGCCACAGCGCCACTTCTGGTTTTCTAGTGGTTTATTGGAGATAAGAGTCTCACAGAGTTTCCTGCTCAGGCTGGCTTTAAACCTCGATCCTCAGATCTCAGCCTCCTGAGTAGCTAGGATTACAGGTGTGAGCCACCAGCGCCTGGCTTTTTTTTTTTTTTTTTAAAGTGGAACTCTGGGCCTCACACATGGTGGGCGTGTGTTGTACCACTTATCAATATCCTTAGCTCTAGAACAATTTTTATTGATGATTCTTAAATATTACTAAACATTTATGTATATGTCTATTTTGGAGCCTTTAGGCTTTAAGAGAAAGGTTAATTTTGCTTACTTACATCATTAGAAACCATTTCTATACTATGCTTGCTATACTAACATGCTACCTTTATCTGTTGTTGATTTTCTATTTATTCAAATAGATTTTTATACATCCACAGATGTGTTTCTAGTTACAAAAATACTGGAATTTGAAACTAAGTACAGAAAATAGCTAAAAATATGTCACATTAAAAAATGTTCCTATAACATTACTGGGGAACAAAATGTTGGAGAAGGTACAATAGTTAACTTTAAAGTTTAATCTGTTATTTTTTTGTGTTCATAAAGGGTTTGTGTTCAGTGAGAGTCCAGGCAGGAATATACTCAGCTAAGAGTCTGAAATAAAATGAAGGAAGGGTCCTTTCAAAAAGAAATATGAGGGCTGGGAAGGTGGCCTAGTGGTAGAGTGCTTGCGTAGCATTCAAGAAGCCCTGGTTTCTATGCCTCAGTACCACATAAACAGAAAAAGCTAGAAGTGGCACTGTGGCTGAAGTGGTTGAGTGCTAGCCTTGAGCATAAGAAGCTCAGATACAGTGTATAGGCCCTGAGTTCAAGCCCCAGGACTGGCAAAAGAAAAAGAAAAATGAGAAAAGTGAAGGGTGAAAACTGAAACACAGTAACATACCCAGGGGATACCCTGGAAATGTGTGTACAAGTTGTTTTATGCACTTGGCAGCAAGATTTTGTTTTTTCCTGACACTATAAATTACTAAATGCAAGTCTATTAAAAAACTTTATTTTTCTTCTTCATTTTTTTCTTTTGTGCTGGTACTGGAGTTTCAATTTAGGGCCTCTTGCTTTCACTTGGTTTCTTTGCTCAAGACTGCTGCTCTACCACTTGAACTACATAACCATTTCTGTTTTTTTGCTGGTTAATTGGAGATAACTCTCACAAATTCTTCTGCCTGAGGCTGGGAAGTTGGCTCAGTGGTAGAGTGCTTGCCTTGCATGCCTGAGGCCCTGGGTTCGATTCCTCAGCACTACATAAGCAAAAAGAAAAAAGCTGGAAGTGGCGCTGTGGCTCAAGTGGTAGTGTGCTAGAGCTGAAGAGCTGAGGGACAGCGCCAAGGCCCAGAGTTCAGGCCCCACGACCGGACCCAAAAAAAAAAATAAAACAAATTCTTTTGCCTGGGCAGATTTTGAACCTTGATCCTTAGATCTCAGTCTTCTGAGTAGTTAAAATTACAGGTGTGAACCTCGCCAAAATAATTTTAATGGAGAAGGTATTTGTAAATTTTATACTGTGTTGGGATTTATTTGTAATATTTTTCAAAGCACCAGCTTTGAACAATAAAAGCTCAGGGAATGCACCCTGGCCCTAATTTCAAGCCCAGTACTGACACAGACGCAAATTCTTGTACTACTTAACAATTCAGCTTTTAAGAAAAGACATATTATCTGGTAACTCCTTAATATACTACTTACCTATGACACGATTTTTTGTTGTTGTTTTGCTGGTTCTGGGGCTTGATTTCAGGGCCTGGGCACTGTCCCTGAGCCTCTTTGTACTCAAGGCGAGCACTCTCAAACTTGAGCCACAGCACCATTTCTTGATTTTTTGAGTAGTTTATTGCAGATAAGAGTCTCACAGGGACTTTTCTGCCCCAGCTGGCTTTGAACTGCTATCCTCAGATTTCAGCCTCCTGAGTAGGTACAATTACAGACATGAGCCACTGGCTATAAATTCTTTACTTCAGTTATAGTCAAATTTAACAAATTTCTCAAAACATTTCACCTTAATTCTTTTTGTTGTTGTTGTTTTGTTCAGTCATAGGGCTTGAACTCATGGTCTGGGCACTGTCCCTGAGCTCTTGCTAGAGCCACAGCACCACTTCCATTTTTCTGGTGGTTAATTCAAGATAAGAGTCTTACAGAATTCGCTGCATGGGCTGGCTTTGAACCACAATCCTCAGATCTTAGCCTTCTGTGTAGCTAAGATTGTAGCAAGTATGAGCCACTAGCGCTTAACTTCATCTTAATTCTTACTAGACAGTTTGATTGATAAAGCAGTATAAGGAGCTCCTCCAGTTCTTCATCTAAAATTATCAGTTATTGCCATTTTCTCACATTTTACTTCTCCTGTCCCCCTTTTCTGTCTATGTAGTATACAGTGTTCTTTTCTAAATCACTAAAGTTATAATTGCAAAGACCATGCTTTGTTCCTAAAGTACTTGAGTTTTTAATGAATTTTTTTGTTACTCAAATTACCCTTAAAAGCAATGCTTTTAGAGTTTGTGGCAGTTTTATTTTTTCACTTTTGGTGGCTCTGTTAAGGTAGGATTGATAAGCCGTACAATTTTAGGCTGCGTTTTTACTCCTTCCTTCCTCTCACTGGCAGTTGCTGGCACAGTGCTGCTGCACCTGGCTGAACGAATGGTTTCTTTTGGAGCTGATAAAGCTGCCTTATGAAATCACCTGACAGGTATATTATACCTACAGATGATGCATTTCCTCCCAGAGAGTTTGGGTTGAGATGGACCCATTCCACAATTGATAACAGACACTCTAAGCAAAAGACTATTTTTTTTGGCCTAATTTGTGAATGTAACTATAAAAATCATTTGAAGTCTAAATACTCAGATCATTTTACAGTAAGAGCTATTATCAAGGTGATCCTAAAAGGAATAATTTTTCTGATTTTTTTGATCGTGAAGGAAGAAATTTAAATCTTTAGAACTAAATATAGGACTCAGTGTCTTCTGGTTTTATACTTCATTTTGGAGTAGCATGAAAGATGGCTGGATTTTGCTTTGAGTTTGGAATTGTTCATACTTTTAATTGCTTGGGGGTCAGTGCATTTTTTACTGACTTAAGTGTTGTATCTAAGCTATCAGCCAATTAAAAAAAACTTTTTTTTAGTATGTTAACTGCCACTTACATTTTTCTCTTTTCTTCCCCAGGGATGAACTGTAAAAGCAACATCAGCTTGACCGATCTAAAATATTACAGACGATTGCTCATCTCAGTCCTTAAAGCTTTTTGGAAACCAACAGCATCACAGCTTGTTTTGGACTTTGTTACACTCTTATTTTCAGCATGAAAATGTGTGGTTTTGTAAGGTTTTCTAATTCTTCAAAGAGGCACAGAACCAAACTGATATAGGAAAGATGCAGAGTATAATTAGTGAGTAATTGCTTTAACATGCCCACGTTTTACTATAATAATATGAAAAGAAAGGGTTCTGCAAAGTGGAAAGCTTAGTTTATGAATTTATTTTGAGAAGTGGCTTTTCTTTTGTTGGACGTTTAATTCTGTTCCAGTATTAATTTATCAGATTTCTTTTGTGCATCAGATAACAATATCAGTCACCAGTTAAAATTCTTGATATTTGGATGTCTGTTAGATGCTACTAAGAAACTAGAGATGAGCTTTCTCTTTAAAGCTTTTGATGTGGTGTCATAGAATAGCATGTTGTAGATACAATCAGCTGCTTTGTTACCTTAAAACTAGGCATTTGTAAATATTGAAACTTAAGCAGATGTCAGGTGATGTCCTATAAACCTAGCTGTTCAGATTGGACATAACTGACATAGTTTTTCTTTTCTCTCTAAAAATGACAGGAGACTTGAGAGTCAGTCCTTTTTTCTGTTTCTAGTTTGCTGCTGATAATGTATATGAATCTAACATGCTGTGTAAGCTGTGTGCTAGTTTCTGCACAGTTTATGCGGTGCTGCTTTGCCAAATAAAGTAAAAAGCAAAAGATGCATTGGTGGTGTTTGAATCTAGAAGAAAGACATAAAATACTCCTAAGATCACAGGAAATGCTGTTCCTCTGTTGCTTCTCTTTGTGAAGGCTGAGTAGGTAGACAGCACTAGTCCATCAATATGTTGTAGACTGTCACATTTCTTCCAGGCAAAGACTATACTTCATTATTTCTCTCTGGCCTCATTTTTCCCAGGGCTCCTTCTCAGTGGCTATACAGTAAGTAATTGCCCAATGAGAGAGTGAAGAACTGACAAATGTCAGGGAAGAAGATAGTTCAGAATAAACACACCTCAAGTATAGATAGATTTATTAATATGATGGCTGAGAAAGCAGTGACACTTTGGGATCTTGCTCATATGTATGGTTTTATACATTTTTAAAGAAGTCCTTAGTTTTTCTAAAGGCTCCAGAGCTTAAGGAAACACAGAGGTCTTCCTAAGCAGAAGTAGCACTTCCAGTCAAGTCTCTGCTGTGTGCAAGTGTCCATAGTTATTCTTATGAGGAGACTCTCAGTGAGAAAGACTTAAAAGTCTGCAGTTTTGTTTTTTTGTCGGTCATGGGGCCTGAAGTCTGGGCCTAGGCACCGTCACTCAGCTCTTCAGCTCAAGCGGGGGTGCCCTACCACTTAAGCCACAGCACTACTTCCTGCTTTCAATGCTTATGTGGTGCTGAAGAATCAAACCCAGGGCCTCATGCATGCGAGGCAAACACTACCATTGAGCCACCTTTCCAGCCCTTTAAAAAAATACTTTAAAAAGGCTTTGAAAACCTTATGTGGACATGTGTTTCACAAATGTGTCTTTTTGGGTAAGGTCTTAAACACAGGAAGCTAGGATCATATAATACGTAAGTCTTGGAAATCTTAAGTTTATCACTAGTTTCAATCTGCTCCTTCATTGCTTCTAAATCCTATCAGTGAACCTTCACGTCAGGACAGTGTCATTTGAGGCATTTGCAAAAGTCAAATGTTTAGGATTTTAAGATTAAATTATTTTTTAATAAGTTTTTTTTTTTTTTGTCGGTCGTGGGGCTTGAACTCTGGGCCTGGGTGCTGTCCCTCAGCTCTTCAGCTCAAGGCGAGCGCTCTACCACTTGAGCTACAGCGCCACTTCCGGTTTTCTGGTGGTATATTGGAGATAGGAGTCTCACGGTCTTTCCTGCCCGGGCTGGCTTTGAACCGCGATCCTCAGATCTCAGCCTCCTGAGTAGCTAGGATTACAGGCATGAGCCACCAGCGCCCGGCTTTTTAATAAGTTTTTTATTGTGAAAATACGTACAGTACAGAGGGGTTACAGTTACATGAGCAAGGTAATGAGTACATTTCTTATCAAGCATTGTTGCCTCCTCCTTTATTTTTCCCTTCTCTCCCACCTCCACAACTACACTCTCCCCCGCCCCTAAGATTAAATTCTTAAACTCATCCACTATTCTGGGTCATTGATGGCCAACACCAACATTTTATTATCTATAAATCCCTGTTAGCTTTGGGTATAGAAAAAGGCCCTTACTTTCAAGGAATCTTCAGTCTAGTAGAGGAGATGCTCTGTAAGAAGACAAACTGGTCCCAGTTGGTACAGAAAAATGCTATGTCTTGAGAGGTGTTCACCCATTGCTTTCGGACTTTACACCTTTATGAAGTAACATTTTAGGATGCTGAACATAGAATGAATTTAAGGTAGAATCACTAAGAGATGGAAATAATGGGCTTTAGTTCTAAGCCTTTTTTTTCTGGAATATAGTCATGTTTTATTTTCTATCTAGAAATCATCCTTTGATTTATTAATTACCCAAGCCTCAACTATGACAGCAATTTGAAAAACAGACCCATATCCACATAATGTTTATCCATGGGGAAGCAAGCAGCTGCAGCTCAGAGCAAGGAAAGTGAAGTCAGGGATGGGACGCCCTGGCCCCGCCTTAGCTGGAGTAGCAGGTGGATGGGAAAGAGACCTAGGTCAGTGTGGGGAGGGTCCTGGTGGGACCCTCCAGGTCAGGGCTGGGCTGGCTCCTCATCTCAGGGTTCTGACAGCACACAGATGGTGGACATGGTAAGAAACCAGGTGCAGGAAGAGAGGACAGGAGTTCATGATGTCCCAGGAGGGAGGAGGAGAGGCAGGAACAAATTTGTGCCTCTGGGTGCCACACAAAGCAGCTGTGTCAGACTTTTTCAGTGTGGTGGGGAGAGGCGGTGAGACCACTCAGTCCACAGTGAAAATGTAAAAGATTTCAATGAACGAAAAGTGCTGAGGCACCAGTAGCACACCTGGAGTTGGGATCCCAGGAAACGGCCAGTTCTAAGCCTTTCTAAGAGCTGATTCGTGATTATAGGTTGGAGATAAATGTTTCTTTAGTGTTTAGTATTCATAATTTATAGAATATGTTAGTATTCACTAATTGATATTCTTTTATATTAAAGGACAGTAATGAACTATTCAAACAAAAAATATTTTTATGGGCTTTTTAAAAGTCAAATATGAAACTAGCTCAAGTGGTAGAGCTTCTGCCTGAGTTCAATACAGAGCCCTGAGTTCAATCCCCAGAACCACACAAAAGGAAAAAAGAAAAAAAAAAGGTAAAGGCTACATCTAGTGAAAACTTATGTAAACCTTAATGAAGAAATTTAATTTCTATTGATGTTCTCAACTCTTTGCCAGACAGTAATATAGACTATGCAAATATTTAAAATCTCATTCCCCTGGGCTGGGAAGGTGGCTCAGTGGTAGAGCGCTTGCCTTGCATGCCTGAGGCCCTGGGTTCGATTCCTCAGCACCACATAACAAAAAAAAAGCCGGAAGTGATGCTGTGGCTCAAGTGGTAGAGCGCTAGCCTTGAGCTGAAGAGCTGAGGGACAGCACCCAGGCCCAGCATTCAGGCCCCCCCCACGACCGGACCCCCCAAAAAATTGTATTTAGCAAAACAGATAAGTATGGACTGGATTTCAGTTGTATCTGTGGGGATTTATATACCAGCCATTTTCAGAAGGATGAGTATTCTATACTTGAGTGTTCATCAAAAGATCCCACTTGAAGGAAACTGGCCCAAGGAAGTTTGTGTCTGCGTACTGTACTATAATAAAATGGAACTCAGTAACCCAACAATTTTTCCATCCTAATTGTTCTAATATTGCTCTGACAGTAGTTGCTGGTTCTCTCTTGTGGGATTCATCTTTTTTTACCTGATTTTTTTGTCTATGTCCTGATTCTCTCTATGGCTTGGTAGGAGACAAAAAACAAGTATCTGTTACTCCATTGGGTTCCCACGGGGCTGTACTGGGTTAGTGAATCCTCCCAGCCTCTGATATCTGTTTCCTTGCCTCCCTTACTTCCTGCCTTTCCCTTTTGCTTTTAACAGGAGAGGATATTGAAGCACTGCTTCCGTCACTTAGATGAGATCCAGTAGGACAGGCAGTACACACACATTTGTGTCCACAGGTAGGTGGGTGGCTTGGGACACCTGGGGACATCTGCACTTGAATTTCCATACCCTATATACTTCACTGTGATTTCTCCAAGGGTCAAATTCCATGGAAAAATTATTTTGCTGATTTATTTTTATTTTTTGTCGGTCATGGGGCTTGAACTCAGTGCCTTGGTGCTGTCACTGAGATCTTTCACTCAAGGCTAGTACTCTATGTGTAGACACTTTGAGTCACAGTACAACTTCTGGTTTTCTGGTGGTTAACTAGAGATAAAAATCTCATGGATTTTCCTGCAAGATCTGGCTTCAAACTGCAATCCTCAGATCTCAGCCTCCTGAGTAGCTAGGATTACGTGTGTGAGCCACCAGTGCCTGGCCTTATTTTGCTGTTTTTTTTTTTTAAGGCTTTCTCTCCTGTTAGGATTTTCTTGTGAAGATTTCAGAGATTGCAGAATTTCCACGTAAACACTATTATATCAGTTTTGAGTTGTCTGTAGAAAAGACTTTTTCAGGGTGGAAAAGGCCTGCATTTCTTTAGGATCCTGGCTCCACTAAGCAGCATAGCAGATTAAAAAAAAAAGTTGGATAAAGCAGGCAGGAAGTTACTTATAGGAGACAGACGTTGACATCTACCTTACTAGCAAAAAAAAAAAAAAAAAAGAGGTGGCCTCAGGTTGGGTAGCTCATAGTGCTGATTTCTTTGTTCTGTTTACAGATCTACATAATACACTTAAAATATTGTAATATTATTTCATCTGGGGAAATTGTTTAAATGTAAGAATACGATCTTTTATTTGGACTTCAGGGTTTTCAGCCATATAAAACAATGAAAGAGCTGAGTGCTGGTGGCTCATATCTGTAATCCTACTTCAGTAGCCTGAGATCTAAGGACCTTGAGGTGAAGCCAGCCCAGACAGACAAAAATGAGAGAGTCTTTTATCTCCAGTTAACCAGCAAAAAGCCAGAAATGGAGATGTGGCTTAGGCTCAAGTGGTAGACTGCAAGCTGTGAATGAAAAAGCAGAGCAACAGCTCAGGCCCTGAGTTTAAGCCCAAATACTGGCACAAAAAGAAAAGACGAAAGAGAACACACAAGCGCGCGTGCACACACACACACACACACTCTCTCTCTCTCTCTCTCTCTCTCTCTCTCTTGGCAGAATACGGGATTGAATACCCAGGCCAAGGCCTCTTGCTTCCCAAGCAAGTGCTCTACTACTTGAGTTACTTATGCTTTTGAGATAAGATCTTAATAATCTTGCCTCTGATTTCCCAAGCAGCTAGGAATAAAGGTATGGGCTACAATACTCATTTCTAATTTATGTTATAGGGTCTCAAGAAAATCACTAATCCTCTATTTCTCCTTTTGTAAAATAATAGTTGGTATAATTCAATCCAAATAATACAATTAACACCTCAGTCAACATTAGCAACTTAGGATTTACATTAAAAGATTTTTTTAAAGGTGGAAGAAAATACAATTTATTAAAGGAATTTTCAACATCATAGCAATACCAAATAGTATTAATTTCTTCATATATAAAATGTGCTGGGAGATGCATGCCTTAACAGTTTTTATTAGATATGGCTATAGGTGACATCCTTCTAGATAAAAAATTATGTAGAATCACAGATACAGATACCTTAACTTCATTTCTCTGTCGTCAGTATGTTTAAATCACTATTAAACTCTAAGCATTTAATAGTTTAAAAAAAAAAAAGGACAGAGTTTCTCAGGAAACAAACATGATAGTCAGTTTGGTTTTCTAGAGCTAACTTTCCATTTGTTTATGTGTTTCAATATATTTGCCACCAAAATCATGCCCCTTGCTAAAGAAGCAGATTCAGGCTGTTTTCAAGTGCATTAAACATTTTCCACTTATGTAAAAATGAATAGGAATATGTGACACCATACTGCCACACTACATATACATTTCAGTAGAATAACTTCTAGAGTGTAATAAAGGGAGTAATTTGCTGTCCAGTGCCCTAAGTTAGATGCCAGTTTTCTGTAAGGATAAATTTGTGCAACACTTGCGTTCTGCTCTCTCAAGTCTGACATCTAGCTGATAGTACATTATAACTTTTTAAAGAATTAAAACTGATAAGGGCTGGAATGTAGCTGAGTGGTAGTGCCATACACAAACCCTGGCTCATTCCAGTAGGCCAAATAACGAGCCAGTACTTACATATGGTAACATGTTGAAGTTATGCCCACAAATCCAATGTTCGGTTTTAGAGTTTGCATTTGTCTCTTTTATCAAGGACTTGTGATTAGAACCATTGACCACAGACATGAAAAGTGTGTCCTGGGCCACAGGCCATATTGACCAACGGGAACCAATAGTAATTGTCTTCTTGCACACTTACTCACAGCTGTTTCTATTAAAAATTTTGGTTCTCCTGGTTCTCTGCTCCTACATTCATTTCCTACCTTACTTCATAGCCATTTTAGAGCCCTTCCTCATCCCAAATCTTGTTTTCTCCAAGGATCAGCCTAAGATGGCAGCCACAAACATGATACAATATCAGAGGAATTGGGAGGGCCCACATTACTCTACCCTGAGGCTTCACTCAGCTGCTCAGAAAATTCCAACACACCTATCAAAGGCACCATCTCAAGCATAAACATGTGAAATCCAGTTTAAGAAACATTTTCTGGGGGAAGTGAGAAAGGAGAGCCAGGAAACTTAAAGCAGACCTGGGAAAGCTGCCCAGGGGCTGCAGGGCCAGTGGTGGTTACTTCTCAACAAAGCACTGCCATACTGAGGTCATGTTGAAATACCGACTTTTCTGCCTCAGCAGACCACAAGCTTCTGTTTCCAAGGATAGATTTGATAAATTGAGAAGTAAGATAGTAAAAGTCTTTAATCACATGAATTCCTAATAAATTTCAACTCCTCTCTAAATTTCAAAACACTTCACCTACCTCCTACAGGAAATCTACACTAAATAAAGGTTTATGATTTACAGGATCTTGCAAGAGGTCATAAATGGCAGAGCCCAACATAGGAAATTGTGAGTGAAGCATGTCCTTGCCCTAAGCTATTAAATTACACTTATTACAGATACATCCCATTTATGAGGTAGTCAGATTCCTCAGATGTAATGGGACGAGCTTTCTTAAGTTTCTGTTTCACCAATCGTAATCGGCAAACAACCATGAGAAGAAGCGAAGCAGTGATTGCCAAACCCAATGCCAGAGGCAGTACGGCACCTGTGAAAGGTTGGAAACGGCAGGTCAGTTACTGACAGCAGTGACAGCGGCAGCTTAAGAGCTGATGAGCACTTTGCATTATTTAATCTGAACAACTCAAATTGGTACCGTATTACTACCATTGTATAGATTAAGAGTCACAGAGAAAGCTTAAGTAATTTACCCAAGTGTTTGGCTTGTAAGTCATAGGTTTAGTCTCAAATCTGACTTTTTTGTGTTTTGGTGGTTTTTTGTTTGCCAGTCTTAGGGCTTGAACTCAGGGCCTGGGCACTTTCCCTGAGCTCTTTTGCTGAAGGCTAGCGCTGTACTGCTTGAGCCATAGCACCACTTTCAGCTTTTTCTGCTTATGTGGTACCGAAGACTCGAACCCAGGGCTTCATGCATGCTAGGCAAGCACTCTACACTAAACCACCTTTCCAGCACAAACCTATGATTCTTTAAAACAAAATTCTGTACCAGGTTCCTATAGAATCTGCATGGTGCTGTGGCTCTAAGTGGCAAAGTGCTCCTTTGAGCAAAAAGAGCTCAGAGAGAGTGCCTAAGCACTGAGTTCAAGTTCTACAACTGACAAAAAATGATGCCAGGTAAACTTAAAAAAGTATCACCAAGTTTCAGAATTCTGTCAAGTACTGCTTTGTGGGAGATTTCATTATCCTTGCCATTAAAGGGCTAAACGGATCAGACTTGATAGTTCAGCAACTTGTTTATATAACATGGCCAACAGAACATTCTTCAGTTGTGTCTGTTACCAAAGCAAAGCATGAGCCCCAATGGAGTTGGAACAGTTACCCACAGCTTGCTTCCCCTGTAACCAGAATGCCAGACAGCTGAGGTTGGAACAGGTTAGGCTGGGAGTCTTGTTGTCATTTTCCTGCCCTGACCAAAACTAGCTAATTATATTCCAGTTTGTAAGAAATAGTTGGTGGCTCTTGGAGCCAAACCATTAGGAAGGATTGAAGCAGTGATTCTGGATATCTCTGGAGCCTGGTGTGAGGGGACTAGAATGAAGTTCTGGGCTGTCAGTTTATCAAGATTTTTCTTAGCCAGGCTCTGGTGACTCACCCCTTTAATCCCAGCTACTCAGGAGCTGAGGATTTGAGGACCACGGTTCAAAGTCAACCCAGGCAGGAAAGTCAGTAAGACTCTTATCACCAGTTAACCACCAGAAAACCAGAAGTGGCTCTGTGGCTCAGTGTCTACACATAGAGTGCCATCCTTATGTGAAAGAGCTGAGGGACAGTACCCAGGCCCTGAGTTCAAGCCCCACAACTGAGAAAATTCTAGTCAGAAAATTAGAGATTTAATATTTTCCATCCCCTTTTAAAACACCTTAACAGACCTCACAGTAACCAGTTGAGTGATGAGTTATGTATTCTGCTCATATGAATGGAAGCAACACACTCAGAGCACCTAACAACTAGAATAGGTGCCAGCCAACTGTAATACATGGCTGTGATATGGGAGCAAGAGGAGGCTGGCTTCTCTCCAGATGCTTATGAGAACACAGACCCCTGAGAGCCATCATTCATACATAAGCCAGGCAGTGCACTAATTGCCTTACAGAAGGCAGCTAGTAGTTCTCCCCAACACCTCCATGAAGCAGGAATAGTTACTATTCTCATCTCACCAATGAGGAAATTGGGGTCCAGAGAGATAAGAACCTGCCCAAGGTCATTAAGGTTAGTGGTGGAGCCAGTATTTGAACTGTGGCAGCTGGCCTTAGAACCCATGTTCTTAACCATTACACAGATGTGGGGCTTTTCTCACAAAATGTCAACCCCTAGAAGAGTGGACAAAAGAAAAAGCTGAGGTCCATGGATGGGAGGCAACTGTCAAGAGCAGCAAGATGCATTGTTATTCTAGCCCTTGCATCACTGCTCTGGCCACAGACTTCTGTGGCTTCACCTGCGATCTTCAGGCACTGTGTCTCTGCAGGTGTATCTACTTGGCAATGCATTTCAAACAGTTACTGTTACCTGCTTCGGGAGGCGGGTGTTCTTCTCTTGCATGATCACTCTTGGACTCAAAAATATAACTTTCCTCCTCTTTTTTGTTCTTCCTTGAGGAGCTATCTGTAAAAAAATAGACATAAGCTGAAGGTATACTATACTACAAAGTTCAGGAAATAAACCAAGTGTGATGGCTCACCCTATAATCCCAGCTAATTGGGAAGATGAGATTGAGAGGACTGCAGTCCAAGGCCAGGGTGGCAGGAAAGTTCACCACACCTAAAAACACAGCTAGATGTATGTGGTGGTGTGTACCAGTCATAAACTTCACGAGAAGCTGAGATTGGAAAGTTTATGGTTTTAGGCAAGCCCAGAAGACTCCATCTCAATGGAGTTCGGGATGTGGTAGTAGGGCCCAAACCCCCAAATTACACCAAACCACAGGTTTTTTCATTAAATAAATAAATGTAGCCTTATTAAAACTCATTTCTCTCTCTGGTGCCAGTGGCTCATGCTTGTGATTCTAGATGCTCAAGAGGCTGAGATCTAAGGATCAAGGTTTGAAGCCAGATAAGTTTGTGAGACTCTTATCTCCAATTAACTACTCAAAAACCAGAAGTGGTGCTGTGGCTCAAAGTGGTAGAGCGCTAACCTTGAGCAAAAGAGCTCAGGTACAGGCCCAACAAAAACAAAACAAGCTCATTACCTTGTCCTCGCTTTTTCCACTGAGCCAGAGGTAGAAGAAATCTTTATCATGGATGAGTATTAGTCCTTCAACTCTAACATCCATTATTCACTTTTTGATCCATCCTAAGATGCCTCAGTTGGACTTTTAAGGTTCTCTTTCTCACCCTCTGTTCCAATGGGCACTGTTCACTTTGGGATGCCAGAGTGTCCTGCTTAAGTAATTTTTATTCTCATGAAGGTTATTAAAATCCTTTCTCTCTTAAGTTCTTCCTAGCCACACTTCAGAGTGCATCTCAGCTTCCCTGTCGACTCTGCAGCCAGGTCTGACTTATCCCATTAGGCACCACAGCCACAGAGCCTCGGGTTGGTTCATCATGCTTAGAGGGCTCACAAAACTGTTTAATTCAATTTCTTCAAAAATCACAAGAAAAAAAATCAATTATATATATATATATATATATATATATATATATTAGTGAATTCAGCCTGGATTATCCTCATCTTTGTATCAATACAATCATAATTTTTTTTTATTTTAATGGTGGGGCCCTAGAAGGCTGAAGTGCCTGGGCTGGGAATGTGGCTCAGTGATAGAGGGCTTGCCTAGCATGCATGAAGCCCTGGGTTTAATCCCTCAGTACCACATACACAGAAAAGCCAGCAGTGGCATTGTGGCTCAAGTAGTAGTGTGCTAGCCTTGAGCAAAAGCAGCTCAGAGACAGTGCCAGGCCCTCAGTTCAAGCCCCAGGAGTGGCAAAAAAAAAAAAACAAACCACCAAAAAGCGCTGAAGTGCCTATGGCCTGTTGAAGTCAGAATGCAGCCCTCCACAGATGCAGGCCAGGCCCGTGTACTCCAGTGCTACGGCTCCTCTTCCTGACCTTCCAGTGTCCTCATGGTGGGTCTCAGGGGAGGTCTAACTGCTCCCTGTCTCTGTAGCTATGCATACACAGACTGGGGAAGCACAAATAGGAAGGGCAAGCTGTAGGCTTGCCCGATAATGCATGATCCTACCTTGAAAATACTCAAAGGAAAAGAGGGCTGGAGTCATAGCTTAAGTGGTTGAATGCCTGTCTAGTAAGTACCAGGTCCTGAGATCAAGCCCCTTGATCTCAACAAAGAGTTTAATGCATTTTACCAAATACTTTTTTCCCTGGATGAAGGCAAGATAAAATATGGAGTTCAGTGGATAGCCTATACCAGACATCCAGCACCACCCCACCTAAAAAAAACCCCAACTAACCTGGGATGGAAATTACTCAGATAAAAGAATTCTTATTAGGGCTGGGTGTAGATCAATAGTAGAGTGAGTATTAACATGTACGGGGCCTGGATTTTATCCCTAGCACACACATAATTTGAGTTTGAGCATGTACATAATGTTTTTGCACTAGCCCCTAGACAACACAGTCTAACAATTTATATACAGCATTCCCATTATATGAGGTATTATAAGTAATCTAAAATTATTTAAAGTATACAGGAAGATATGTATAAGTTACATGCAAATAACATGTCATTTTATGTATATCCCCTGGCATATACCAAGGGATGACTGTTTTTAGTATGTGTTTCCTCTTATGAATTTGCAGGGGTTTTTGTTTTTGTTTAGTTTTTCCAAGACCCTCCCTCCCTCCCTCCCTCCCTCCCTTCTTTCCTTCTTTCCTTCCTTCCTTCCATCCTCCCTCCCTCTCTTTTTTCTCTTTCCTTTCTCTCTTTCTTGCTAGTACCAAGGTCTGAACTCAGGGCCTTGAGCTTGCTTACTCAAGTGGCATTCTACCGCTTAAGCTATGCCTCTAGCCTGGCTCTTGTCTGGTTAGAAAAGTCTCAAGGATGTTTATGCACAAGCTGACTTCAAACATCAGGTCTCCAGATCTTAGCCTCCTGAGTAGCTAGGATTACAGGTGTAAGCTACTACTGAATGGCTCAAATTCTTCGTCTTAGCTCTTCTTTCTTTTGGAGATACTTCCTTAACACTCTTCATGCATGAACTTAATTTTGAGCCATGTATAATGACAGAAAATAAGGCTCTTCATGGACAAACCGCCCCAATTCCTTACCTGGCACCCCGAGGATGACTTCACTTTCTGAACCCATGGAGAAGGAATGGTTCTTCCCTGTGTCTGACAATGTAGCTGGCTGGTTGGGGGTAGTGGTTCTCTGGGACTTTTCCAACAAGGAGTCCTCGCCTGCATCTTGACTCTGCCCCATGGTTCTTGACTGGGCAGGACTGGCTGCTGTGTGACTCACCATCTTGCGGTCAAGGCCCACTGGAGAAGGGAAGAGCTCAGTTAGTTACCACATTTCTTTTCTGAACTTTAATTAAAATCATTGCAGAGCTGGGAATGTGGTTTAGTGGTAGAGTGCTTCCTAGCATGCATGAAGCCCTAGACTCTATTCCTCAGTACCACGTAAACAGAAAAAGCCAGAAGTGGTGCTGTAGCTCATGGTAGAGTGCTAGCCTTGAGCACAAAGAGGGTCAGGGACAGTGCCCAAGCCCTGAGTTCAAGCTCCAGGACTGGCAATAAAACAAAATAAAATAAAATATTTGGGCTAGGAAGGTAGGTAGCTTAGTGGTAAAGTGCTTGCCTTGCATGCATGAGGCCCTGGGTTCGATTCCTCAGCACCCCATAAGCAGAAAAAGCCGGAAGTTCCGCTGTGGCTCAAGTGGTAGAGTGCTAGCCTTGAGCTGAAGAGCTCATAGTGCCCAGGCCCAGAGTTCAGCCCCACGATATGATTTAAAGTGTCATTGCAGATACTTTAAAGCCAGAGCCCCATAGAAGTTATTCTGATTTTTAATGCATAATCTACTCTCTTTTCTTCCAGCAATTAACTTTTCAAACATTACATAAAGAAATGGGTAACAAATCTTAGTTTGAGACAGTCCTTCCTCAAGCTAGTATTTTATTTAGCTTTTTACTGAAGCTTTTTTTTCCCCTTGGTAACTTGATGAGCAAGTGCACTACCGATTGAACTATACTGCCAACCGTTTGTCTTCTATTTTTCAGATAAGGTCTAGAGATTGCTTGAGTTGGGCCTTGGACCATGATCCTTCTACCTCTGCTTCCCCAAGACTGGGATTATAAGTGGCCACAGCTCTTCTCCTTTTAGTGCATCTATGAATGTGGCATAGTAAGATCGACTTATAGCTATAATTTAGTTGCACTGTAACTTGTCAGAAATATTCTTTAAAATTTATAAGACAATGCTGGGCATTTTGGCACATGCCTATAATCTCAACATTTGGTTGGAAGCTGGGATTACTTGAGATTGAGAGGCCAGTTTGGGCTACACAGTGAGAGTCTTCTCAAAAAAAAAAAAATTATCAGAGCTAAATATGTGGCCCAAATGATAGAGCACCTGTGTAACAAGTATGAACCAACCCCTGAGTTTAAACCAAGTACTACCAAAAACAAAAGCAAAAAATCAGTGTTAGAAGTGGAAATGTGTGTGTGTGTGAGGGGGAGTGCTGGTACCATGGCTTCAACTTCATTGAAGTTGAAGTTCTTTGGTTTGTGTTATACTTCGGTTTATGCTATATTCAGTTTGAGCCACACCTGCACTCTGGCATTTTTCTGGTTAATCAGAGATGGAGTCTCTGACTTTTCTGCCCAACATGGCTTTGAACCCTGATCCTCTAATTTCAGTCTCATGGGATTAGAACTAAGATTATAGGCATAAGCCATTCCTACCTACCTCACTTCAATTATTATTACTGTTTTTGTACCAGTTCTGGGCTTGAACCCAAGGCCTGGATGCTATCCCTGAGCTTTTTGGCTCAAGGCTAGCATTCTACCACTTAAGTCACAGCTCCACTTTTGGATTTTTGCTGATAATTGAAGATAAGACTCACAGATTTTCCAGCCTAAGCTGACTTCAAACTTTATATCTCAGCCTCCTCAGTAGTTGGGATTAAAGGCATGAGCCACAGGCATTTGGCATTCACTTCAATTTTTTTTTTAAGCTTATGTTATACAGCAGTATTTTTAGGATGGGAAAATAGTTAGCAAGTTAAAAAAAAACATGCAATACCAAAATTTGACATTTGCAATACAGACTAAAGACTTCAGTTAATTCCCATTTAAGCATGGCTTTTTTTCTTTTAACATAAAGTTAGATATAAAGCCAGGCAGAGGAAGAACACCGAGTTTCGTTTTAGGCTGAGAGCACAGACATCCCCAGGCCATCCCCTGGTGCTGAGGCAGTGTGCTCACTCACAGTTTTGACAGAAGGCTTCGTCAGACCCATCTGGACACTGCGGCATGCCGTCGCAAGCCAGGGTGATGTCGATGCAGCAGCCGTCATCGCAGAAGAAGTGGTAGCGCGAGCAAACAGTCAGGCATCCTGTTTGTAAACCAGTCTCAAGTCATAGGAGTGCAGGAAAATTAACACCCACTGTGTCCGGTTGTAGATGCTAGGGGAAGGGGAACACGCATTTGGGTAAAGTGACGGGGATAAGGAGGAACCTAACAGAGCCCAAGCAACAGGTTCCAGAAAGGTATTAGGGTATCTTCTTGAACCCCTGACTAAACTCAGGAATCTCTGTCTGAGGTCTGTTCTCCAAGCCTGCAATATTGGGGTCAAGAGCAGCCACTGGGGATACTCTGTGCAGCTGGGTCCTCTGCATTCCTTCCTTCCCCCATCACCAGGTCCTCTTCCTCTGGCCATTTATTGCTCCTCAGCAGGCCACCTAACACACCACTTGGCTGGCTATGTTTCTTTAATTTTTTTTTGTTGTTGTTCGTCATAGGGCTTGAACTCAGGATGTGGACACTGTCCCTGAGTTTTTTTCTCAAGGCTGGTGTTCTACCACTTTGAGCCACAACTCCACTTTCAGTTTTCTGGTGGTTAATTGGAGGTAAGTCTCACAGACTTTCTTACCTGGGCAGGCTTTGAACCTCAATCCTCAGATCTCAGCCTCCTAGGATTTAGGCATGAGTCATCAGCACCTGGTTTGACTATGTTTTAGTAGAGACATAATTTTCCACATTTAAGTTGCTCCTCTTGTGTAAAAAGAACTAATTAGTTGTTTTTTTTTTTAAAACTAGATCAGCTTTCTATTATTGAATCCTATTTGTTGCCTACCGTTGTATCCTTGGGGCTATCAAGAAATAATCTTTAGCTGCTGGCTGAATGAATTTCAAGGAATGATGACATTTTCTCTTTTTGAGATCTTGAGAGTTTTTAGTCTGAAGTGTAATTCATAAGGACTAAAATAAATCTCTCTCCACTAAGTCTGTTATATAACCTAGGCTGATGTCAAACTCTGTATAGCCCAGGCTGGCCTTTAAACCTTGTTCCTACTCCCTCAGCCTCCCAAGTACTGGGATTTCAGGTCCTTCACTTACCCTGCTAAATATTTTTTCCCACTCTTGATTAAGCCAACTTTACTAGACTTAGTTACCAAGAATCGGGTAACTGCCTGACCCTGGTAATACAGATGAAAAATATACAGATTCAATAGGGTCATAGGAAGTCCTACAATTGTACAGTGACAGAATATACTAGACATTTCCCTCAGGAACATGAGAGGGTGGTAAATTACATTCCATTGATGATGATGGATGAGCAGAGTTCACATGTTCAAATGGCTTCGGAGACATAGTTTATTGAAAAGCAATTACACTAAGACGTTGGAAAGGAATCTATCTGGGTTTAGGGCAATTTTAAGATAGCTTAATACAGGAAGAAAAGAATTACTGTAGAACAGCCTTCAGCTAAAGCAAAAACTTGGGCTGCAAAGTCAGCTCTAGCCACTAGGAGGAGTCAGGAGAAAAAACAAAGGGAACCTGACCATCAAGCAAGAGACAGTCACTTGTCATATTTCTTAAATTCATGACACATAAATCCTAAGTAGGTCAAGATGTAGGATTCAAGATCTGAATAGTTTGAGATAGACCCCCTATGTATAATTTAGTTATGTCTGTTTCTGCAACCTCCAAACTTTGACATATTGACATCTAAAATGTACTTATGATGTACAGATATTCTACTGTGCCTAAAGTATTGCATACTGTCTCACATATACCTAAGATTTTAGATTCAATTTTCTTCTTTCCTGTGGCAAAAATGAATTGTGCATCTCTGAGGGATCCTATTTGGAGACCATAATCAGATCACACTGAAAATACTCCTTGACTGCATTTTTTCCCTCTCTTAAACATTTTGAATGACTAACTATATTGGCAATGGAATGTACTCATCAGCTGAGTCTTCCTTCTGTCCTGTGGCATGCTTTTCCTTCCCCTTCATATTTTATTGTAAATTGACAAATAACAGAATATATTATAGAGTATAATGTGATGGTTTGATATATGTGTACACTGTAGAAAGACTAAATCAAACTTTTTTATGGCCAGAACATTTAAAATGTATTCTTCTAACATTTACAAATATGCATTATTTTTAACCACAGTAACCAGGGCTGTGCAATAGGCCCCTAAACTTACTGCTTCAAATGACTGAAACCAATCTACACTGCATCTATGGACTGGAACTATGTTTTTTTGTTTTGTACGATCAGTGTCTTGTGCATTCCAAGCTTGTGTGTTCATGGCTAGCACTCTACTACTTGGGCTCTTTGCTAGTTATTGGAGGGATGAGTCAGATTTGTTTGCCTGAGCTGGCTTCAAAGCTTGATCCTCAGACGGAGGTGCCTAGGATTACAGGTGTGAGTCATCATTGCCCAGCCAGGAACCTGTTTTCAGTACTGTGTTTTTAGCAAAATCTCTCATTTCATAAACACATAGAATATAAACTGCCAACCCAACACTGCCTTCCAGATGGCTTACCTCCTGGGGTATAGGTCCTGGCACGCACAGCCACCGACACATTGTCAGAGCTTCTCTGACCCACAGTGTCAGTCACAGTCAGCTGGAACGTATACTCCCCTTCCTGCAGGTGGGAAAGCTTCAGGGTTCCTGGCTGAGGCACCTGACATGTGAACCAAAGGGATCGTGTTTAGTGGGGATGCAGGGTCCAATGCCCTCCTGAAATGAAAGTCAGCGTTGTGCTTGGAGCAGTGCTCTGATCTGCCTCTCTTCTCCAGGCCCAACACTGATGAATGCTAAATCCCATGCCATTTTCTTTTTCTTTTTTTTTGGGTCCAGCGTGGGGCCTGAACTCTGGGCCTGGGCACTGTCCCTCAGCTCTTCAGCTCAAGGCTAGCGCTCTACCACTTGAGCCACAGCGCCACTTCCGGCTTTTTTCTTTTTGCTTATGTGGTGCTGAGGAATCGAAACCAGGGCCTCATGCATGCAAGGCAAGCGCTCTACCACTGAGCCACCTTCCCAGCCCCCCCCCATGCCATTTTCAACCCACCATTTTCAATGTTATCTGAGCTGACAATATCCTTGACTGACAATCTTTTCACTGTCCTTAGCAGTCTCTGTTCTAAACCTCTGTCTTCTCCTCTAACTCTGTACTCCATGTTATGTCCCTTCCTCCTCCATGGGTAACCTTGAGTACTTCAAGGAGAAAATCAGGACCATGGTTATGACTGCACCACCCACATCCTCTTGGGCATGTCCCTGTACCCATTGCTACATCGCAGTACCTATCGCCATTTCCCTGTATCCATCGCCACATCCTGTACCCACTGCCATGTCCCATACCCACTGTCACATCCCTGTGCCCACTGCCATGTCCCAGTATCCATCACCACATCTCAGTCCCCATCACATCTTGATACCCATCACCACATCCCTGTGCCCAGCACCACATCATGGTACCCCTCACCACATCCCAGTACCCCTCGCCACATCCCAGTACACATCATCACATTAGGTATCCATCATATCTCACACCCATTGCCATGTTCCTGCTCCTATCGCCACATCCTGGTGCCCATCACCATGTCCCAATACCCATCGCCATGTCCCAGGACCCATCACTATGTCTCAGTACCCATCACCACATCCTGGTACCATTTCCATGTCATGTGCCCATCCCACCTGGGCTGCAGGCCAATCCCTCCTCCTACTCCCTGACTTTCCTTTTATGACTTTTAGAACATTGATATTTTGATTAATTTCTTTTTCAAATAGTTATGTTATTTGTTTTGTTTTGTTCTTTAGTGCTAGTTCTAGGGCTTGAACTCAGGGCCTGGGCACTGTCCTTGAGCATTTTTACTCAAGGCTAGGGCTCTACCACTTGAGCCACAGCTTCAATTCTGGCTTTTTTTGGAGATCAGAGTCTCATGGGCTTTCCTGCCTGGGCTGGCTTTGAACTGGGATCCTCAGATCTCAACCTCCTGAGTAGCTAGGATTACAGGTGTGAGCCACTGGCGTCTGGCTAGTTATTACTATGCTATACATTGCCCTGGCCCCCAAATATAAATAAACCAAGTAAAACATTCCCTAAACTTCAGTACTTTGTGCTGCTTGATCACCATACAGATTCTCCTCAGCCCCAGCTGAGTCAGTGGGTCTGGAGTAAGGCCTAGAATCTACACTCCACAAGTGCTCTCACTCAATCCATTGGCTACTCCTCAACTCAAAGTAGATGGTCGACAATCCCCAGTTTGTTTATAGACTATCCAGTCTATACTGTTACATTTCCTTACATCACAGCACTATGAGTGACCCAGACAAGGGTTGGGGTGGGCTCAAACTAGGCTGTCAAGTGTGGGGACAGGGAGAAGTAGTCAGATTCTAGGTTAATTTTAAGGAAGTCAATAGGATTTCATGATATGTTTGATACAAACTCTAAGAGGGCAGGAGTTCCTAAATACAATCCTGAGCCTCAAACCAGTTCTCTTGTCTCACTGCAGTTTACTCACTCTGATGGTTCTCAGGTGGATTATACTTTCTTTCCCACTGTCTGAAGCTTGAACTCAGTCAAGCCACACATTTATCCCACACACCCTAGCCCCTTCCAAGTCAGTATGTTCTTGTTCCCAGAATCACTTGCCACAGCACTCCAGGCTTTTCTGAAGCTATAACTAACTTATTGTCCTTAGATCTTCTTTGTCTTTGCTTACCCTTTTTTTGTTATGTGTGCCAGTCCTGAGACTTGAACTCAGGGCCTGGGCACTGTCATTGAACTTTGGTGCTCAAAGCTAGTGCTTTACCACTTGAGCCATAGCTCCATTTCCAGCATTTTGGTGATCCTCAGATCTCAACCTCCTGAGTAGCTAGGATTACACGTGTGAGTCACCAGTGCCCAACTTTCTCCTACCGTTTTTGTACTTGAGTAGTCACTAAAGTGGTCCTGTGTGATATATTATTCTTTCAGTTTGTGTTTTACAGTAATCTAACAGTATGGCAGTAAACAGAGCTTAACAGCTCTTTGAAATAAATAACAAAGGGCAGGTGGTCTTCTTTGCCAGCTGAAAGCTTTTTGCCATCACTATTGTACACCTGGGGAATTGGTTCAGTTTCCCATTGGTGGTACAGCAGTCAGTCCTAAAAGGCTCTGAGAAATACCAAGTTTTCCCATTCCTTTATAAATATATTCAAGAAATTAAAAACTCCACTAGCCCTATTCAGCACCCACATGTGCAATTCCTCACTTACAGAATAAAACTTTTAGTAGCAGGAAGGAAAAGATAGAAGATGATAGAGGCTCATTTGCAGCTGCTTAAATAGATACAGTATATTCCAGAAGTGCCAAGTAACAATTAGTGTCCATCCCAAGGGAGCTAAGCTAGCTCTCTTCTATCAATGGCTTGTTCACTGATTTTTTTTTCTGATAAGCCTTAATTTTCTAAATTCCAATTAATTCTGGATAAATGGCTCATTTCCACCCATAGCAAATCCAGCTCTGTCCAGATGATCCAGACAAAGAACAGCAGCAAGCAATGAGCTGGAACACCCAGCCTCTCACTTCTTACCACGTTGGCTGCAAGCAGGCCTAACCACGAGGTAGACTGTTTATTTTTTGGTTTGTGGGAAGACTGTTTTGATTCCACTCTTATTTCATTCTTCTTTTATCCCTTTGGTACTGGTCCTGGTTCTTGAACTCCGAGCCTGGGCACTGTCCCTGAGCTTCTTTGTGTTCAAGGCTAGTGCTCTACCACTTGAGCCACAGTACTACTTCTGACTTTTTCTGAGTGGTTTACTGGGGGTAAAAGTCTCACAGACTTTCCTGCCCAAGCTGGCTTCGGACCACAATGCTCAGATCTCAGTGTCCTGACTAAGATTACAGGCATGAGCTACCAGCACCTGGCTGTTACTTCCCCTTATTTCCTTCTTTACATTCTCTCTCTCTCTCTCTCTCTCTCTCTCTCCCTTCTCTCTTTGTTGGTTGGGGGGCTTGAACTCTGGGCCTGGACACTGTCCCTCAGCTCTTCAGCACAAGGCTAGCCCTCTACCACTTAAGCTACAGAGCCACTTCCAGCTTTCTGGTGGTTTATTGGAGATAAGAGTCTCACTGACTTTCTTGCCGGGGCTGGCTTTGAACCATGATCTTTAGATCTCAGCCTCATGAGTAGCTAGGATTACAGGCGTAAGTCACCAAGCCCTGTTCTCTCTCCCTTTTCCTTCTCCCCTCTCCCTCTTCCTTTCCCTCTCCCTCTCTCTTTCCTGGTGATACTGGAGTCTGAACATTTTTTGGTAGGCCAGACCTATCAGGCCAGACCTGAGCTTCCCTCTCAGCCCTTTTCTGCTTTAGTTATTTTTCCAATTGGTTCTCATAATTTTTCCTGGCTATCATAAACTACATCCTCTGATAAGGCTGGGATGACAAGCATGCATCACTATAGACAGTTTTATTGGTTGAGATAAAATCTCTTTAACTTTTTGCCCAGACTTTTTGGCCTCTGCCTTCCATGAAGCTGGAATTAAAGAGGTGAGTCACTGTGCCCACCTTCCTTGAAGTGTTTTTATTAAGAAAAAAATAAACAAGAAGAATAAGGCAAATAAAAAAATCACTGTCACTTAGAATTAAAAAAAAGTAGATTTACAGAAGACAGGCTTTTGGGAGACAATTTTATGCTTTATACCACTTGTGCTTGCTTACAGAAGTTCTGTGAATATGAATGGAAGAGCACTATAAAAGATCATCTTCCACAAACACCAGTTTTCTCTAGCAAGGACAACATGAATTACCTGCATGTCCACTGATGGGTCACCCTGTAACAGCGTCCACTCGTACTTGATGATGGCGTGGTCGTCTGTGCTCTCTCGGCCATCCAAAACCACCCCATCCATGGGCAGATGCAAAATCACATCCTTCCCAGCCTTGCTAAGTGGAGGCCTGTCCTCATCTATGGAAGGAAATAATAAAAATGATTCCCTGTTTTCTCATTTATGAGGAGAGCTATCTTGTTGGTTGACTAGATTTGGTCCAGAAACATCTTAAGAGAATGGTAATTCATTGGAATTTCTTTCATATTTTTACTGTTTTGTTTTTACATCAGAAAACAAAATAGGAATATATAATGAACATGGAATTTAGCCATGATACATGTGGAAGGCTGGAAAGCTGGCTATTAGCAGTAGCTATGGACAACATGTGAGGAGAAGACAATGTGCAAATATAGAGAAGCAGCTTTATTATCTGAGTGAATTTTCAGTTTTTTATTTATTATTAATAAGTTTTTTTATTGTGAAAATACCGTACAGAGGGGTTACAATTACATGAGCAAGGTAATGAGTACATTTCTTATCAAGCATTGTTGCCTCCTCCTTTGAATTTTTCAGTTTTTATATGATCTAAGCTCAAAGTTCTATTAAATAGATTTTAAGAAAAAGAAACCTAAAAGATCCTCAATAAAAATAAATGCATTTCTAGTAGTTTTCTCTTTTCCTATTAACTTTATAAAATATATTCAATAAATGGGTAACATTAAATTTGAAACATTAAACAAAAATTCAATTCATACTAAATAAAGTCCACATAGAAATTCTCTGGAATCTAGCTTTTCATCCAGGAAAACACAAGAGGTTTAGAGCTTCTAATAACTGAATTTTTATAACAGAAGCAGCACAGAACTACTGGAAAGTCCTAAGTCCACAAAGTACACATGTATTTGCCTTTGATCTAGAATGGTACTAAATAAGGCTAGAGGAAATAAGCAGTTATTTTCTCTTGAGACAGGGGCTCATTTTGTAACCCAGGCTGGCCTTGAAATTCAGATCTTCCTGTCTCAGCCTCCCAAATGCTGGATTACAGGAACACACCAGCATGCCTGGCCAAGAGATAGGCGTTTATCAAGAAAATGAACCCTACTGATAAAATCGTTTGGATGTTGGTTGTTCTCCAAAGGCCCATGTGATAAAGGCTTTGTCTCCAAGGTAGTATTAATGGGGAGATGCATAACCTTTGTAAGATCCAAAGGATATTGGAAGCCTGCTCTTCCAATAAAACTGGAAAAGACTGTAGGAGGCTAGACTTTCTTTTGCTTACTAGTTCATGATGTAAGTGGTTTGTTTGGCCACACAGTCCTGCCATGATGTGCCACTAATATAAGTAGTAGTGGACTGGAAGAAGCCAGTCCACAGGGTACCCTGTCTTTTCCTAGCTGCTCTGAACAAAGCTTCTCCACAGGCAAGGAGAGATGTGACCTGTACATACCAATGTCCTTTCTAAAGTCCTGACCTTTCACTTTATTACTTAACCATTGTGGAAAGCATCTTATAATCCAACAGTTAGATGTTACAGTTAACAGCTATTTACATCCACCTTTCTTTAAAAATACTATTTAAAAATATTAGACAAGCCTGGTGTCAGTGGTTCAGAGCCTCTGTAATTCTGGCTACTCAGGAGGCTGAGATCTGAGGATCTCAGTTCAAAGCCAGCCCGGGCAGGAAAGTCCATGAGACTCTTATCTCCAATAAACCACCACAAAACCAGAAGTGACACTGTGGCTCAAGTGATAGAGTGCTTGCCTTGAGCTGAAGAACTGAGGGGCTGCACCCAGGCCCAAAGTTCAAGCCCCACGACTAACAACAACAACAACTCTCTCTCTCTCTCTCTCTCTCTCTCTCTCCATATATACATATATAACATATTAGACAAATTAAAGTAACTATATAATATAGAGAACAATGAGCATTAATGATCTTGCTATGTTGCATCTTGAACTTGAAATTTCTTACATTACTCACTAAATAGCTAGGACTACAAGTGTACATTACCACATCCAGCACTAATATTTTTTTTGTCAGTTGTGGGGCTTGAACTCAGGGCCTGGGTGTTGTCCCTAAGTCTCTTTGTACTCAAGGCTAGTGCTCTACCATTTGAGCCACAGTACCACTTCTGGCTTTTTCTGAGTAGTTTACTGGATATCCTCAGACTTTCCTGCCTGGCCTGGTTTGGAACTGTGACCCTCAGGTCTCAGCCTCCTGAGTAACCACTGGTACTAAGCTTCCCTGAGTTTTTTTCATTTTCACTCAAGCCTAGCACTCTACCACTTTGAGCCACAGCACCACTTCTGGTTTTCTGGTAGTTAATTGGAGATAAGAGTTTCATGGGCTTTCCTGCCCTGGCTGGCTTCGAACCTCAATCCTCAGATCTCAGCCTCCTCAGTAGCTAGGATTATAGGCCTGAGCCATGGCCGCTTAAAAAAACCTTCAAAAGAGTTTACCTCAAAGATTTAACATGGGGCTGAGAAGGTGGCTCAGTGGTAGAGTGCTTGCCTTGCATGCATGAGGTTCTGGGTTCGATTCCTCAGCACCACATAAGCAGAAAAAGGCCAGCAGTGGCACTGTGGCTCAAGTGGTAGGGCATTAGCCTTGAGCTGAAGAGCTGAGGGACAGTGCCCAGGCCCACAGTTCAAGCCCCACAACTGGCAAAACAAACAAACAAACAAAAAAACTCCAAAGATTTAACATGGAAGATCAGTAAGATACCTCACGTAATACGAAATAAAATAATCCTGACCTTCCTGGAAGAAAAAAAAACTAATTGTAGTAACTTTAATAAAATCACTTATTGTTTGGGGGAGCTTTAAGATATGATCTATGAGCCAGATGTTGGTGTGGTGTCTCATACCTGTAATCCTAGCTATAAGGAGGCTGAATTCTGAGGACCATGGTTCAATCCTCAAAGTCTTTGAGACTCTTATGTCTAATAAACTACAGAAAAAGCCAGAAGTGGTGCTGTGGTTCAAGTGGCAGAGTGCTAGCCTTAACCAAAAAAGAAGCTCAGGAACAGAGTCCAGGTCCTGAGTTCAAGCCCCAGGATTGGCGCGCGCACACACACACACACACACACACACACGCATACACGCATACACACACACACACACACACACACGATCTATAAACCTAGAGAAATCCTCCTATCCTCTAAATTGTTCTCTGATTTACCTGAAATAACCAAGAAAATGTTTCATCTTCAGTTTAAGTCCAAGTAACTTACACTGTAAAATGTGATTTGAAATAGGCAGAGTTTATCTACCCAGAAGTAGCCCTTAAATAAACAACATGAAAAGGAATGTACTACCATTAAACAATGCCTGACTTGCTGAAGAAGATTTTGTCATAAAAATATAATAAACTATGGTCAATACTGTGGAAACACTGGTTTCTTCTGAAAACTACAAAAATATCTGGTAAAATCTATAGAGGCAAAATACGATTTTCACAAATTTAGACTGAGTATATCAAAGCGGAATTCTATCTGGAGAAAAATGAGAATATTAGCTGGGCAACTCACAATAATTGCTGTAAACACAGCCTGAAAAGAGTTCTGAGTCTGTATTGTATGGTGTGGACATAGAACAGCCTGAGAAATTTGAAGAGCTTACTTATACTGATAAACATCATCATGTGTTTTTTATTTATTTTTACTTTTTTGGTAATACTTGGGGCCTTGTACTTGTTAGGCAAGCACTGTATCACTTAAGCCACACCTCCAACCTCCATCGTTTATGAATTGCAACACTCTAGAAAAAGCTGGGATACCAATATGATTATCATCATTTTTGGTCTGTCCTGTTTTGTTTTTTATCCACACTAAGAATCATATATCATTATAATGATATATGTCACTTATTGGATGAGTTCTTTGCTACATGTTTTAATAGGCATAACCTCACTTAATTTGCACTAAGAGCCTCAGAGGGAGGTACTGTGATCTTCACATTGCTAATAAGGACTGTAGGAACTAAGAGGCTAAGTTAGTTTCCTACAGTCACACAGACAAGTGGTGATATAATCAGCTCAGATGTGTTCTAGGTATTTCTAACTCAAAGGCTCCTTCCACTAGGCTCTGAGACACTCCAAGTGTGTTACAGATGTTTTCCATGTAGTAATGTTTATTCACACATCCTAGAGCTGCACATGTAATTGCTTAAACTTCACAACTGTCACCTTAATTTCCTAATAAACACTTTTGTTCACACTTTTTTCTCTAGCATGGGACATTTTCCTGAAAAAGAGACAGGATTTAAACATTCTTATTTTCATCCAAATTCAAATCCCTTCTTTTTCACTTTTTATCACATTGGCCAGTAATTTTTTTTTTTGTCTGAAGAATTAAGTCCAAACAGGTCGAATCAATAGATCAATAGCCAGGAGGGTCACGCCAAGAAAAAAAGATCTATTCTGCACTTGCAAAATTAGCTGAGGCAAACCCTATCTTACCAAACCTACGAGAGTAACGTGCTCTCTTTAAAATAGGATTTCCACCTATCTTCTCAGGTCAATCCCCCTCCACACCTTCCAATCACCACCCAAGAGAAATAACTGCTCACTGGGCCGGCTTTTGCCAGTCTATTGGGCTTTCCCAGGAGCCATCCCTAAGAAATCGACAACGAAGGCCGCTCTTTTGGATACGCACAACGAAGCCAACTTGCCCGGATCCCCCAGATGTTTGGAAAAGTGCAGCCATCTAATAAGGTGCAAAGACCTGCGCTTACCCAGAGGGGGCGGGGCCCAGGCAGTGGCCTTGGCCGGAGCTGCGGTTTCCAGGCCACCCAGATCCGGGGCTCGGCTGAGGCTGAGGTGGGCTTCCAGGTTCCCCAGCTCGGGGGCGCGGCTGAGGCTGTAGCTGCTGTAGCCTCGATGCAGCGCGAACTTGCAGACGCTGCGGCCGTGCGCCGTGCAGTTGAAGAGGTAGCAGCGGAGCGCGGCGGCCGGGGCCGTGGGCCGCCGGGGCCGCTCCACCACCGCCACGGAGCAGCGTGGCTCGGAGCAGCAGGACGTCACGCACTGCCGCCAATCCCGCACGGCCGCCGGCGCCCTCAGGAAGCTGGCGCCCGCCGCGATGGAGTCCTTGGTGCGGATGATGGCGTCCGCCATGGCGCTGTAGCCATCGCCGCCCGGGCCGGGGCAGCCCTCTCGTGGGCCGCCGCCGCGCAGCTCCAGCTCCAGCTCCTCCTGCGGCCTCTCCTGCTGGAGCTGCCGGCGGAACTCCTCCAGCAGCTGCTCCACGCCCGACAGCTGCGCGTGCAGCTCGGACAGCGGCGCGGGCGGGGCTCCGGCGGTGCGGACGCTCGGCAGCC